TTGAGTGTGTATGAAAGATGTCAAAATTGCGAGCACTCTGGCAAGCTTCTGTAAATTCAACAAAAAAAGGTTATTTTAACCACTATTATTTTATCTGCAATCTTCAGAATTATCTGTATATAAATTTTTATTCAGTGAGCTTAATACCTTCTTATTGTGGTTATGGAATACTTCTAAGGAGTTTTGAGAAGATATTTTTCAAGTGACTCCCATTACCCCCGTCCAAGTTTTGCAATGGGGCCTCTGTTGAGTCATTAGCAGTCTTCTTTGAAAATTTCATCGGCTGGTTTGATTTTATTGATTTGAAATTGGAATAGTTTCACAAGGAATTATAGATTTGTTAGCCATGCTTCTTGATGCTGAGTTTGAAGTTAAATGTGAGATTTCATATCGATTGGAGAGAGGAACGAGTGCCAGCGAGGATGCTGGGTTCTGAAGGGGGGTGGATTGTGAGATCCCACATCAATTGGAGAGGGAAACGAATGCCAACGATGACGCTGGGGCCCAAAGGGGGTAGATTGTGAGATCTCATATCAGTTGGAGAGGAGATCAAAACATTCTTTATTAGGGTGTGAAAACTTCTCTCTATTATATGTTTTTTAAAAACATTGAGGGAAGCCCGAAAGAAAAAGTCCAAAGAGGACAATATCTGCTAGCGGTGTGCATGAGTTGTTACAAATTGATCTTTGTCTCAGAACTCAAACCATGGGAAAACTGATGGAAGCCCTCACTACTAGCTCTTTACCTGCTTAAAATAGCTATCCTTCGGGACAGAGAAAGAGATGACAGCCGTAGTTCATTGCCTCAGGATGTGGAGGTACTACTTGCTAGGAGTCCTTTTTAGTCGTCTTTCCCTATCTATTACCTCTTTCTATCATCAGAGAAGAAAGCGTTTTAAGTGACCAGATATGAACAAAAAGCGGGGAATGAAAGACTTGAAAGGGAGTTTGTAACAGCCCAAACACTCTGCTAGTAGATATTGTCCTCTTTTGACTTTCCCTTTCGGGCTTCCCCTCAAGATTTTTGAAACGTATCTGCTAGGGAGAGCTTTCCACACCCTTATAGAAAATGCTTCGTTCCCCTCTCCAATCGATGTGGGATCTCACATTAAAGATCCTTGAAGTTTCCATTGGGGTTTTCTAAGGAGTTATCAGATTTGACCAGCTGGATTTTTCTGTAGCTCCTCTATTTTAAGTCTTTTATATCTCTTATTTTGTTTTGGATGACATTCCTCGTTCGTTCTTTTGTTTTCATTTCCCTTTTTCTTTTCTTTGTGCTCTCTCACTTTGTATTGGAGTTTGTACCATTTGAACAATTTGTTCCTTTTCATTTATCGATTAGTAGTTTGTATCATGTTAAAGAAAAATGTTACCTTCTCTACCCCTAAGTTGTATATGCTACCTGTATGATTGATATCTATTTATGCCTTTTCTTTTGTTTTTTTGGATGTCATATTATAGCTCTCGCTTGGAATGTTGAAGACTGGATACCACCTACTGAAAAATACATCTTTAGTTTCAATTCCAAGCAAGAAGTTAAGAAGTGGCATTTATATTCAGATTCGGAGTATGGAGGTATGTGCATGTGTATGTTTATCCTTATTTCTTTATATTTCTCCATAAGGGGGAAAAATAGACCTTTAGCATTCTGATTTGGTGTCAGTGCATTTTCACTTCTTTTCCCCCCATTTCAAGTTTTTTTCATAATTTTTTTTAGAAGTGAAATAGAAATGCAAAACAGTTCTAGTCCATTTATTAGCTATAATCCTGTTGTTTGCTCAATTTTTATCAATAACTTTTGACAAGGACAAGTAGTAAGTTGTTTAAGGATCCATTTTAATAAACTCTGTAATAAAATATTTAGTTTTCTTCATTGGATTGTTTCCAGGAATGTCTACAGCATCTTTGGAGATCACTGAAACTGGAAATGAGCTACGAGGTACGTAGCAGATTGTATATCTTCATTTAAATTTATATTATAAGCTTGTGGGTTGTTGGTATTACTCTATGCTATACATTCTTTTATCTCTCCAAAACATATATTTCACAAATGCATTGTTTTCTCTCACGTTTTCATCATTAGAAAAGATACATTTTTCCTGAAACACTGCTTAAAGCTTTGTGCGGTCTGAATGTATGACATGTGATTGGAATGGTTTTTCTTAGCAAGTCTCATAAAAATTATAGGAAAAGTTATGTAGTTTGGACGACGGAAAAGCACGATGATTTTAGATGAGGTGCCATTACTAATTCTGTAGCAAGTTAGGGGAACACACTATTTACACTCTAACTTAGGAGGCTGAAGAAATCTTGTAATAGCATAATCAGTTTACTTGGTGTGGATTGATATTTTATTTCTACTATATTCGTGCAAAAAGACATGGCAAATTTATAACTTGCTCAATAGTCCGGCAATTGCATCTGTATCAACCTTTTATTTATTGTAGGAATATTCTCTGGGAAGCTCTCCTTGGATGTAAATGAGAATTCAAAATGGAACATAAAAAGGAGTGGTTTTTGTGGAATGCGCTCCAAAAAGGTGAAACATATTCTTGCTTGTTTTTAGATTTTTTTTTTTTTAAATATTTGTTGCTGTTGTTGTTATACTAGATTTGAACGTGTAACTGCTGACTTGCTGGGTTACAAGATTAATCAACCCTTTGACCTCAAAACATAACTGCCTGTCACCAGCTCTTGATATTTGGTTATCTTACCTTACCTTACAACGTCATTTAGTTGACGACAAACTCCTTAAGAAGAATTGTATATCATGGTCTACAATCCCTAAATGGAAAGAGTTTCATAAATGTTATGAAAATGCCTAGAAAGTCGGCACATCTTTGCTTGTATTTGACATTCTGTCCAGTCAATTGATTTTCTTTCATTGCATATGTATCACTGTTATTTTCTTTTGGTTTCAGTGCACCCATAGGTTATATTCCCTCGAATCTCTGTTTCCCATATCTCCTTATATACTCCCCAAAGATAATTTAAGTGTAGCTTTTGAACCCCCTCATGCTAAATTTAAAAATGAATTTGTTCCTAAGAGGTTTCCATTATGTCAACAATATATTTTTTTCGTTCTTTGGCTAATTCTTGATCTTCTATGTTATCTACTTCAGTTTGATGGCTTCATTAATTTGGATTTGTATGATTCCATTGCGTTGAGGCTTAAAGGAGATGGAAGATGCTATATATCCACTGTAAGTTCGTTTTTCTTTTCTTTTTTCCCTCTAGGTAATGAGTGTAAAGGCAAACATATTTGATTGTATGTGCTTTACCTTCCCAACTGAAAATTTGAAGCATTAAAATGAATATCTGCAAACTTCTCCACAGATTTATACTGAGAATTGGGTAAACTCACCAGGACAAGAGGAAGATAATTCATGGCAAGCATTTGTTCTAGCCCCTAAAGATGATTGGTATATTGCCAAGGCAAGTGGCCTTCCACATCTTGTAGCTTGCAAATTGTTTATATGGCTTATTGGCAATTACGGTATACTGTTGTATGAATGCTCGAACTTTGAATCTTGGAAAGAACAAAACCTTAATGAAAATATATGAACATTTTTTTACTTTTGATTTGGGTTTTTATGACAGTATTAATTAGCAGCACCATAGCCTTAATTTAATTTTCTTCTTGTACATAGGAAGTATGTTATTTGAGTTCAACAAATATATAAAAGTAGATGATTCAAACTTTTGACCTTTTGGTCAAGGCTATGCACCAGTTGAGTTATACTTGGGTTGATTCCATTGTTTTGCAACATTTACATTTTCAAGGTTAGACTAAGATGATGGTGAATTGAACATTGTGATGTGGATGAGTTCAACCTAACTGAAACTAACCATTCCGTTTTGTCTGAATTTTCAGATTCCTCTTGATCGATATTTACCAACATGGAGAGGGAGTATAATAGATTCAGAGATGGAAATGAACCCATCTCGTATTTTAAGCATGTCCTTATCAGTGAATGCTGCTGCTGGCGTTCCAGGTGCAAGATCTGGCCCTGGTGACTTCAATCTGGAAATTGATTGGATCAAAGCCTTGAGAACTCAGTGAGTGAGTTGCTGTTTGGTACTCTTTCATGCCGTTTTGTGCTTAAGAGTAACATAATTTGCACATCCAACGAAGAAAAAAAGAATCAATTTTGGAACCAAATTCTGCTCCACGCTTCTTCTGTTGTTTGAAGAAGGTAGTTTAGAACATAAAAATACAGAGCCCAATCTGGATGTTTGAGCATTGAAGGTGCCATGTATGTTTCAAGGGAAGGGAAGACTACAAGATGGGCTTGACCTAAAGCTCTTATAGACACCTTATTTATTTCGGGTTAGGCATGTATGGTTGGAGACATGCGAAAATACACAAATAAATGAACATGATGCTTTTTCTGCATGGTTCGATTCTCCAACCCTACATAAATGCTACATGAATATGTAGAGGGTAGTACGAAAGATTGCAAAAATTTCAATATTTCTACACTATTTTCATCTTTTTGTAAGTTTAGTGGGTGCTATCCATCAACAGTTTTCACATGTTTTCCTAAATTTGACACGAAAAAAGGTTAGAAAACTTCCTAGTAAACCTATTTTGGCTATATCGATGTATCAATGCCATCTTTTTCTAGTGGAGAAGAATTGTTTGTATATTATATCAAGACTTTCAATCATGTCTTATTTAAAATTTAAGTTAAAAATTTAATAATACACGCAACGACAAGAGTTCTTACTGATTTTAGTTGAATGTCATGAGCACATAAGGTCTTACTGATTTTATTCGAACCTCATGAACACATTTTATTAAAAATATATTTCGCCAAAGATAAAAAGAATGATATAAAATTTGAATAAGTTTAACTCTATGAAAGTTGAAAAAAATATGGTGTATTGAAGAAAGCCGGTTTTCCCAACCGTGGGCACGGTTTGGACCGTTGGGTTTCCATGTTTATAAACCGGAAATCATTGGTTTGCTATGTGCAAACCCACGCCAATGAACCGGGATTCAACCTCACCACAAATCGTTAGAACAGATAGATGGTTGCGGCTGCGAGGAGACGGCGAATCGTTGCTGGTAATTGCCGACTGATATTTTGGGGTTCATACAAAAGATAAACATGGGCTGCCTAATGATATGGAGGTAGTAGACATCTTTTTGCTGGAATTTTTCTGTGCAATTTGTTAGCTGGGTATTCTTCGGTATGGTTTTCGGTTTATAAAAATCATTTATTTATTTATTTTTGTTCATTATACTTGAGAATTACTGCCTTCCACTGGTGTAGTTAGTAGGATTGAGCTTGTTCTGAGGATGAGCGGATGGATGGATTCTGCCAAAAAGCTTTGCATAACCTTAAAAGCAAATACAGAACTAGAAATTCAAAGCATTGCAATGGCTATGTTAAAGCTACCAGTACCAATTAGTAGCCTTGCTCCTGTCAAATTCACGCCATTTCTATCGAAGTCCAATGAATTGGCTTCTCCTCTCCTGGACCCAATGAAGCTCTTGAAAGTGGCTGCAGATGCCAAAAACTTAAAATTTGGTAGAGTAATCCATGCCCATTTGGTCATTACCAATCGCATCCCTAGAGACTGCAGGGTAAACCAAATTAATTCTCTTATTAATTTGTATGTGAAATGTGATGAACTATTCATTGCTCGGCAGATGTTCGATAGAATGTCGAAAAGAAATGTGGTTTCTTGGTGTGCTTTAATGGCTGGGTATATGCAAAATGGGAGTCCCTTGGATGTTTTTGAGCTGTTCAAAAAGATGATAGTGAAGGATAATATTTTCCCCAATGAATATGTGATTGCCACTGTTATATCTTCTTGTTTTGATAGTCAAATGTATGTAGAGGGGAAGCAGTGTCATGGATTTTCCTTAAAGTCTGGATTGGAGCTTCATCAATATGTTAAGAATGCTCTTATTCAGATGTACTCTAAATGTTCAGATGTAAGAGCAGCATTGAAGATATTAGATACTGTGCCAGGTTATGACGTATTTTGTTATAATTTGGTTCTAAATGGGCTTCTAGAGCATTCACATGTGGGAGAAGCTATAGAAGTTCTGAAGTTAATGATTGATGAAGGCACAAAATGGAATAACGCCACTTTTGTTACGATTTTTCGCATTTGTGCTAGTCTTAAAGATTTAAAATTAGGTAAGCATGTTCATGCTCGAATGTTGAAAAGCGATATTGACGACGATGTCTATATCGGAAGTTCTATCATTGATATGTATGGGAAATGTGGTAATGTGTTGAGTGGAAGAGCCTTTTTTGATCAGTTGCAAAACCGAAATGTTGTTTCTTGGACAGCAATCATGGCAGCTTATTTTCAGAATGGATTCTTTGAAGAAGCATTGAATCTGTTTTCAAAGATGGAAATTGATCATATTCCTCCTAATGAATATACACTGGCTGTGTTGTTAAACTCTGCTGCAGGTTTGTCCGCACTAAGCCATGGTGATCAGTTACATGCTCGTGCCGAGAAATCAGGTCTCAAGGGCAATGTTATAGTAGGGAATGCCTTGATCATAATGTATTCCAAGAGTGGGGACATTTTAGCAGCACAACTCGTGTTCTCAAATATGAAGTGTTGTGATTCCATTACCTGGAATGCGATAATAACTGGTCACTCTCACCATTGTATCGGTAAGGAAGCGTTGAACATATTCCACGACATGTTGACTGCTCGAGAATGTCCAAATTATGTGACCTTTATTGGTGTTCTTTCTGCTTGTGCCCATTTAAGTTTGGTAGATGAAGGATTGTACTATTTTAATCATTTGATGAAACAATTGGGTATTGTTCCTGGGTTGGAACACTATACCTGCATTGTTGGACTTCTAAGTAGATCTGGACGACTCGATGAAGCTGAGAATTTTATGAGGTCGAATCCAATCAATTGGGATGTTGTTGCATGGCGCACCCTTCTCAATGCTTGTTATGTTCATAGAAATTATGATAAAGGGAAACAAATAGCAGAGTACTTACTACAGATGGATCATGAGGATGTAGGTTCTTATATTTTATTATCAAACATGCATGCGAGAGTTAGGAGATGGGATGGTGTCGTTAAGGTAAGAAAATTGATGAGAGAAAGAAATGTGAAGAAAGAACCTGGAGTGAGCTGGTTAGAAATAAGAAATATTGCCCATGTTTTTACATCCGAAGATAATAAACACCCCGAGTCGAGTCAGATTTATGAAATGATAAGGGACTTGTTAACCAAGATTCGACCATTGGGTTATGTTCCTGATATTGCTGGTGTATTGCACGATATTGAGGATGAGCAAAAGATCGACAATCTTAGCTATCATAGCGAGAAGCTTGCCGTAGCATATGGCCTGATGAAATCACCATCAGGTGCACCGATTCGGGTGATCAAGAACCTTAGGATGTGCGATGATTGTCACACTGCTATCAAACTTATTTCAAAGGTTGCAAATAGGACTATAATTGTTAGAGATGCCAACCGTTTCCATCATTTTCAAGATGGTTTTTGTTCGTGTGGAGATTATTGGTGAAATTTTTGATAAGTTTCTCAATGATTCTGTGGTAGCATGATGATAAAACGTTTCGAGCCATGATTCTGTGGTAGCAGAGATATCAATGTACTCTACTATTTCAGGCTGGTATTAGGCACACATGACACAAGTTGAGCCGACTAGGTCTGCACGTCGGGTATGTGAGTTGTCAATACCAGTTTTCTTATATTTTCATTTTTCTTAATATCTATCAATGTCATTTAATATTTCAATTGGTTTTATAACGGCTCAAGTCCACCGCTAGAAGATATTGTTCTCTTTGAGCTTTCCTTTTCGGACTTCTCTTCAAAGTTTATAAAACGCATCTTCTAGGGAGAGGTTTCCACACCCTTATAAAAAATGTTTCGTTCTCCTCCCCAATTGATGTGGGATCTCACAATCCATCCTCTTTCAGGGCCCAACGTTTTCACTGACACTTGTTCCTTTCTCCAATCGATGTGGGATCCCCAATCCACCCCCCTTCGGGGCCTAGCGTCCTTATTGGCACACCACCTCTTGTCCACCCCCTTCGAGGCTTAGTTTTTTCCTCGTTGGCACATCGTTTGATGTCTGGCTCTGATACCATTTGTAACAGTCCAAGCCCACCGCTAGCAGATATAGTCCTCTTTAGGCTTTACCTTTCGGGCTTCCCCTCATGGTTTTTTAAAACGTGTCTTCAAAGTAGAGGTTCCCACACCCTTATAAAGAATGCTTCGTTCTCCTCCCCAACTGATATAGAATCTCACAGGTTTCTACTTTTCCATTGGTTGCACATGTAGCTATTTGGTTGGGGTGACTCTAGAAAACTCGATTAATTGGAAGATTACATCTCTGCCTACAGTCTATGGTGGGATTGTGTGGATTCCCTCCCACCAAAGAAATACTTCATTCTTACAACAGTGGCACGGCAGTTCAACCAAGAAAGGAAGTCCTTTGGGAGGAGGGTGAGGCTCATCGACTAAGAGAGAAAAAAAGATAGATTGATCTCTGGATTTGCCTCCCTATAAAAAGGTCGAAGATTGGCTGCTTGAGGCTGTGATGGGAGCCTGTTTTAGAGGCAAAGCTAAGATCATTGGGGCTGTGCGTTAAAGCTACTTTATGGTTAACTTGAAAGGAGCATAATCTTCTTTTGGTTATACAACGCTTGTTGGAATGCATAATCTTAGTATCTGAGGCTGAATGTGCAGTAGCAGCAGGAGCAGGAGTTATGAGCTGTTGGAATGATTTGGTTCAGTAGTTTATGACAGTGTTTTCTGCTCTCAAAGATTTCCAATGCTTCAAAGCTAAATCACTTCATTCATTCTAGCAGTGTGAGGAGGAATCGCTACATGAAACTTGGGAGAGGCTCAAAGAATGCTTGCGAAACTGCCTGAATCATGGTATTCAAATACAGACCTTATACAATGGTTGCCAACACTTGAACGTTTGCTTCAATTGAGGTAATAATTTAATCTCTGATGTAAGAAATTTCATCAAATTATACGTCGAGAGTTCCATTATTCAACAATTTAGACTTTGTACTTTTATATATATATATATATATATAGCATACAAATTCTATTAAATCTTAATAATGATTTTTTTTATGATAGAGATCTCACATCGGTTGAAAAGGTGAACGAAACATTTCTTATTACGAGTGTGTGGAAGTCTCTTTCTTGTAGACATATTTTAAAATTTTCAGAGGAAGCCCAAAAGGGAAAGTCTAACCTTGAGAGAAAGCCCAAAAGGGAAAGTCTAAAGAGAACAATATCTGCTAGTGATAGGCTTGTAATGACTAGTAATTTTTCTGAAATGCACGTGACTAACAAAGTATGCCGGAAGGATTTGTGTTGGTATATAGAGATAAATTTCACTCTAAATAAATAATGTGACTATATTGTAGGAGATGTAAGGGAATGTCGGAATACGAGACTTTCACAATTTGTGGCACTAGGCTTGAGTGCCATCCCCATCCCATCACATCCCAACAAGATCCAAAGTTCACTTTACACAAACTGTATTTTCCTTGCATTTTGGTTAAAAGGACACAACATTGACCTCTCCTTGCCTGACTGCTCAGTTCTGTCCTGTCCTATAAGCTCTGTAAAAAGCCTAACAATCATTTAATACATTGAACTGCTTTACTAGAAGCACTCTCAATCCCACAAATCTTCACAAAAATTTAATCTTTTTGGAGTGTTTCAGTTTCCAGTTCCCTTCATAAACTCCATTGGTCCTTCTCCTGTCCACCAATCCTCTTCTTCTTCTTCTTCCTTCTTTCTCCCTTGCCTTTTCTTCCCAAAACCCTCTCTTTTTCTCCTAATTCTCTGCTTCTCATCATTTGACAGTTACTGTTTATATATATATTTATGCTACTTCTCATCAAAGCTCTTGCATGTGGGAAGGAGGCTTCAAAGTAGTGCAGCCAAGGATGACTTGCCGGCAACCATTTAAATGAATGGGGGCTTCTTTATTTGGTCGGCAAGTCATCTCTGGCTATGTAACTTCCTCCTTCTTTCATGCTAGGTGTTTATTGATGAACATCATTCCCAAATTCATCATCCATTTAGTGAACTCTTTCTCTAACACCTCAAGTTTGCTCGTTAGTAGATATTGTCTTTTTCGAACTTCTACCTTCAGATTTCTTTTCAAAGTTTTAAAAAACGTGTGGAATAGTTTACACATCCTTATAAATAATGTTTTGTTATTTTTTTTGACTGATGTGGGATCTCACACTCTACCTCTTTCAAGGCTTAGTATTCTCATCACACTCGTTCCTTTCTCCAATCAATATGGGACTCTCCAATCCAATCCATCACTTTCAAGGACCACCCTCATAGCTGGCACACTTGGGACTTAGCCCTTCTTGCTATATCATCTAGTGTTTCGCTCTGTTACCATTTGTCCACTAAAGTCTACTATCAGCCGATATTATCTTATTTGTACTTTTTCTTTCAAATTTTTTTATCAAAATTTCTGAAAAGCGTGTGCTTAAAAGAGTTTTTTCACATTCTTATATATTATGCTCTGTTCTCTTACTAACGTGAGATCTCATCGTTTCTATTTGTTTGATTTTGATCATTTACCTCATGTTTTGTTTTTGGTTCGTTATCTCACCAAACAAATAGAAATGGTGAGTTACTCCATTAAGTTCCTCGTCGTTTCTAGTTTATATTCATTTGTACACTTAATTATGGTCATGATACTATTGTGTAAACCAGAAAAGATTGACTTGTAAGGCTCAAAATACTAATACCCATTAAGTGCATATCCCTTTGATGGGATCCTCAATATTTTCTGACATAACAATCCAAACAAAGAAACTAATAGAAGCATCACATCAAAACGCAAGATTCACATAGATTGACCAAATGATATGGATCCATGGAGATCACTGAAAGATGGTAACTTTATAGGCTAAGATACACACAAATTATTACCCAAATGAAAGAAGAAGCTAAATGGAGATGAAACCTTCATTGACAAGAAGACCAAAAACGAGAACGAGAAGGCCGGCTGTGATGCACTCAGTTGGAGAAACCCATGTCTGTGAATAAGCTGACAAAGTCAGGGCTGCGCCCACCACCCCTATCAGGAGAGAGCTCATATTCTGATTCATCTTCTTCCTCCTCTTCTTCTTCTTCTTCTTCTTCTTCTTCTTCTTCTTCTTCTTCTTCTTCTGCTAATTTAATGAAACTCTTGTCTTTACACACCTTCCTTTAGCCAAAATCAAAAGTCAACTTTGTAGAAAGAGGCAATGTGTGAACAATGGTTTGTTTAATCAAAACCATACAATATACAAATCATAAATGCTGTCCATAGGTTTACTATTACTATTATTGTTGTTATTATTTATTTATCGATTGGGCTCATCTTTTTTTATTATTATTAACTTATTATCACTTGTTCTTCTGTCCAATTCCATTATGAAAATTATTAGCAGAGATCTTCATTCACAATTCTATATGAATGAATTTGTAAGTCTTTAGTCCATTGCTAGTTGATATTAACTGTTTTGGTCCGTTATGTATTGTCGTCAACTTTATAATTTTAAAGAGAGGTTTTCACATAGGAATGCTTCGTGATAAATAGTATCAGAACCAGACACCAGACGATATACCAACGAAGACGTTGGGTCCCCAAGAGAGGTGGATTATGAGATCTACATTGGTTGAATAGGAGAACGAAACATTTCTTATAAGGGTAGGATATCGAAATTTGGTGTCCATGTTTTAAATAATATTTAAAAGTTTAGAGAGTAAATTAAAAAAATTTGATGGGCAGCCTATTTAATTATATAAAGGATGGTAAATCAATTGGCATGTGGTTGTGTTGGACCTTTTTGTTTGGTAAGTTCTTAAATAACATTTTTTGTGCACATCAATTCCTTATTAAACCCTTTTTGTAGGCTATGGATTGCCAAACTTATGAATCTTTGTATCACAATTTGTGAAACACTTAATACTATGAGATTTCTATTTTGACTTGTCTATTCATTTCTTTTATGTCTATGATAATGTCACGACCTAATTTTCGTTATAATACGGTGCTATTCTAATTTATTGCAAACAGGTAAAAGAGTTTCAGATATAATTACAAATCAAAGTACAAATGACTCAAAAAGAAAAAAAAAAAAAAAGGACTGACGCTCCATAATGACCCTCTCTATGACACATGACTCTCAAACGCTCATCCACATCGATCAACAATGTGCAAACACCTGAAAAAAAAAAATGGAGTGAGTATAAAAATACACAATAAACAACTCTCATCACATCTTTAATCTAGTAGGTATCCATGGGTTTTACTATGAACTCTGGAAGTTCAAGCTTAGTGTCTATTACTATCTGTGTGTCTAGGGTGCGTCAAAGTTATGAGTTGTTCACTAATTGCTCATAGCCCACTCCGAATTTAGTGGAGGTAGTTCACCCTTTTTTAGCGTTGTGGATCTGCAGAGCAACAAGTCCCATCTCTAAGGTGAGCTACACTTTTGTTCTAAACTTGCTTGGCCTATTTCATACAAGTTATGGCTTTTATAATTCAAGTTTAGCTCTTATTCTGTTTCTATTCTTTCATTAAGCTCTTTATATATGAATTGGGTATTATAGTTCGTGTCTTTACTCTTTTTAAGTTCTATTTTCTTTTCAATTATGAGCTAAGTTCTTTGTTGTCGATTCAAATAGGTACATTACCTTAGGAGAAAGTCTCACCTAAATTAGTCATAGACATATGTTTTAATTGTGTAGGCTCTTAGAATCACTTAGAAAATAGTTGAATAGATGTTAAACTCGACTTCAAATTGTAAGTGTTGATTAGGATAGGTTGCAAGTGCATTCAGATTGTATTATGTTCAACCATATAAAACTCGAAAGAATGATTCGCAGGTGCATATAAGCACAACACTCAGTTGAATGAGGTCCAAAGCACGGTTGAACCGACTCTAGAATATAGAACGAGCTTCAAGAGCATTAGGTTAACTAAATGGGGTTACAAGGTAGGGTATAAAAATAGTCCAAAACATGGTTGAACCAACCCTAGAGTATCGAATGGGCTTCAAAAGCATTAGGTGACTAAATGGGCATGCAAGGAAAAACATGGGCCAAGTAGGGTGCACAGGTTGCTCAACTCCATTGCACCTTGTCACATGAGTTGAGGTATAGTAGTGGCTAAAATGTTAATTATTTGTGTTAAAAGAATGCTATGCATGATTCACCTCACTGTGTATACGATACGATACTCAAAATCTGAATAATTTATTATTAAAAAAATTAAAATTAGAGCTATTCTTTTCGGACGTAAATAACATAAATTTAGTTATAATAACTCATGAATTATCATTGGTCACCCACGAACAAATCCTTCCACGTTCGTTGGCATGATACACTTGGTTGGTTCGTGTCATGTTACATCAGTAATATTCGTAATTATTTTGAATGATAATACAAATCCATGATAGAAGAGATAGTGACATAAACATATTTCCAAAATATTTTCATATTAAACTCATATGACGTTGGAAAATAATTTCCAATATAGAATGAAATTAAACAATTATTAGAGTCTTTTAGAACCCTTAATCTTAGCTTAGGTGTCATTGGAACACTTAATATACTAATAAGTAGTTGGTTTCAACTTTAAGACTTAAAAATGTTTTTAATTTTTGAAGACTTTTGAAATAATCATAACATCAAATTTTAAATTAAATTAATTGCGGACTTTTGATGTGGCTGTCAACGATCAGAAACCACGAATCATTCCCTCATAAACTCAGCGATCTTCCACTAAATTAGTCAATCTGGAGCTCCCTCCCAACATTCCTCAACATTCCTCAACATAATAACCGGATTTTTTATAAACCCTATCACGTGGTATCAAAGTCACAACCTCATCTTAACCTAGCAATATCAATAAAATCCTCAAATGATATTAGCGTCATGCACATTTATTTAAATTTGGTCGACGTTATAGCAATACTATTTTCCTTTTTTTTACCTAGTATAATTAAAATGTTATTATAAATCTTTAGAGAAAGTCCCTATCTTTAATTTCATGAATGCATATTTGAAAAGCATTTTGAAGCTTTTCCCAATCTAAGTTATCCAATATTTCTAAAAGAATCATCTTTTTGTTTCACCTTCTGGTTGGCCTTCAAAATAGCAGCTAGGGTTTCTTGTTTTGTATTTCCTACTATCTTTATGCCCAATTCTTTAACTATACACCACTAATCAATCTCATATATCTTTTGCTCTACTTTAGTACTTTAGTTTAGCCTTCAATATTGACTTCTTCAATCCCCATCTTTCACTACTTTATTACCCTAAATTAATAAAAACACCTATAAATTTTGCATTTTCTCTATAACATTCTTTTGTTTAGGGTCTTTTGTTTAGGGTTTAGGGTTCATTACAGTAAATATACGAACGAGAACCGTCTATCAATACCTCATATTATCTACACAACATTGCAATGTTATTTTAAAAAATTCATAAATATTTTTGAAACAAATTAAAGGGTGCTTTTAAATTCTTTGAAAAAAGTATAAGGGTATTAATGAAAGTTTTGAAAACAATCGTATTTTTGAAACACTTTTGAAAGTGAAAGTTATTTGTGAAACCATTTTGAAAGCTACATAATATATCTGAAACAAAATATTAACGGCTTCCATCCAAAAGTAACGAAAATGATATCATTTGAAAAAGAACAAGATTATTATCCAATAACCTTTAAAGTTTTAATGATTAAAAGAATACATATATGAAAGGAATTAGTGATTAAGCAAGCCAATTTTTTAAAATAGAAACTTAGATTTATGATGGTTTGGCCATACATACTTTTTTTTTCCTTTACACAAAAAAGTTGATTCAGTCAAAGACTCGTTTATGAGAGAAACGTATCGCATTTACACTTCTTCTCTCTTCTTTTTCAACAACCAATTATTGGGTTTTTTTTTGGAGATCCGCAGCTTAATAAATAGTGTTGTTGGAATAATAATGTTATTATACTAAATCAATATAAATAAACGTTGTTATATTTGCTTAAATCATTTCCACGGTAACATATATCAGACCGTCTAAGTTTACCTTTGCCAATCGAACACAGCTCGTGCAATTCAAGCTTATTCAGCCACACACATCATTCGTGCGTGACACAATCACGTCATATCTCATTGTCATCTTGGTTCCTTATAACACGATCCATGCATCGTGATGTCGTCCCATGTCTTGGGACATATTGACCATCTAGGCTTGCTCGAACATATTCGTTTGAAACTGACCAATATGTTGATTATCTCATCAAGACATCCCAAACATCCATCCATTTGGGTTCTCTTGAACATTAGATTCTCTCGTATCCATGTTAAACCATTTATGATATACGTTCTAGATAGCAGGTGTATAATTCAACCTCCAACACATGAGTTGTGGCACAATATTGGCACACCCGTGCTAAACTGTGACATTCAAAGGAAGACGCTCGAGACGCTTGTCCCGTGACGTTCGCCCATGTTGTGACACATGCATGTACCACAAGGTAGTTCGCTTAGGCCATAGGGCCTAGGGGTGGTGGAGAGCCAACACCATGCCTCCCCCTATAGTACAATTTGAGACATTTTCAATCCTTCTTAGGTAGACGTCATTTTGGCGAGCGTACATACGGACTCGTGCATAGTCCGTTGAGTATCTGTTTGAAACCATATTTGGTGAGCTTTCATCTTTCTTATCGACGGACTTAATTCTTAAGCTGGATGTCGAAACTCATTTCGAATCCCAGAGTTTTGAGGTTATGGCTTAGGGCCCTACCAAGCCCTCTTTGAGGTTGTTTTCTAGACTCGTGTCGCCTCATTCTTCCGAACTTTGTGTATGCCTCGACTTAACTTTAATACACACCCTTGGTTTGTTGGATGATGAACCTTCCTCCTCGGTCACATCATGATACTTCTCAATCTTGTCTTAAACATGACCGGATGGACGATACTTTAGGGTCGTCCCTTGTAGCTTAACGTGTGGGGGTCACAACCTACTTTCTCTCAGTGGGGTGAAAAATGCAATCTTGGTGGGACCTATCATTATGTAGAATATCATAGTCTTGCTCTCTACTTTTCACTCCAGGCAAAGTTGGATGTGCAGTACTTTCCTAAACATGACCCACGCACTCACACATAGACCCACCAAGTAAGCTCATATACATACCTTTGGGTCTGCCCTTCGACGAGTATACACTCATGCTGTCAAAAGCCACCTATGGAAATAAGTGTGCATAATATCCTGATGTATAGAATATCGTAGTGTATGCCTCCATACTAATCATAATGGGGAAGTATCTCGATGCACGTGATATACAAAATGCATAAAGTCTTCATAGGTTTAAATCATGACATTTACTTATGATGCAACCCATATCTCCATTCCCTTTATGACATAATATTCCTATGAGACATGGATATGTATACTAAACATACCTTTCATGAATAACATGCATGACTTAACAATGTCTCATAGGCATAAAGTGAACATTCTAACATGGTTTACTTGGTGTAACATATAGAGATTCATATATCATATAATATTGGTCTCACAACACAGTTTTATGATATAGTATAATCATAGCATAACAAAACTTGTATCATATATCATAATTCATATCATAGTGTAAGTTGTTATATAACATAACACACGTTAAACAAACTTAAAACATGTTACATGTAGGGGCCATAGGACACACGTCGTTCATACAACATACAAGTCATCTGGATCCTCTAAACGCATGCACTATTGTCCTGCACGTGTCATGTTTTATGACTCTTTGACGTGTGCTATGTTATGATATAAGTTATACTACGATACAAATTATGCTATGTTATAAGTTATACTGTGATATGATTCTGCTATATTATGAAACTATGTGGTGACAGTCGTAAGATGCATGAATCTCTATATTTCACGCCAAGTAAACTATGTTAACATGTTCAATCTATGTCTATGAGATATTGGTAAGCCATGTATGTTAATCATGAAAGGTATGACAAGTATTACGTATGCATGTCTCATAAAGATGCCATCTCATGAAAAATGGAGGTATGAGTTACATCATGTGTAATGACATGATTTAAAGTTATGGCGACCTCATGCATTTTGTATTTCATGTGCATCAGGATATTTCCCGTTATAATTAGTGTGGACACATACCTTATGATATTATGTGCACTCATTTCCCTCTATGGCTTTTGGTAGCGTGAGTGTATGCTAGTCGAAGGACAATTTCAAGGGTATGTATACGAGCCTACCTGATGGGTCTATGTACACGTGCGTTGACTGCGTGTAGAGAAGTAGAACACATCCAACTCTACTTAGGACTAAAAAGTAGAGACCATCCACTAGCAGGTCTATTTAGTGAGTATTTTTAAATATTCAAGTCACGTGTTACTTGTTTTTTCAGGTAAAGATAAGACACCCATGTACGGTTGATGACATCGCTATACAGGCTTCAAAAATACAATCAGAAGAGTTGTATTTTCTTTTAAAATTGTAGTCCTTAGGTTAGATTATGGCATATGACTTTCTTTACTATTTCATTAATGTTTATTTTTCTTTATTCAAAATAAATTTTATGAATTTCATGACATCGTTTAGAAATGAACTTGTGCATATGCAATAACGATTATATTTCAATAGTAAAAATAGGATCTAGTGCATCATTACAAAAAGTCGTAATAAATTCACCCTCAATTAAAACATGTTTTTCAGTTTTGATATTTTGTTACCGACAATTCTTTAATAATATTTTTCAATATTTTGTTTTCGTGGTGGGAGAAGTTCGACCTAATTACATATTATATACCTCAATGAAACTTTTTTTTTCCCTTTTTTATTTGAAAACAAAATAACTATTTATCGAAAAAAATAGAATATAATTATTTAAAAGTTTTGATAAAATAGGCAAATAAAGGAAATGAAAAAGGATGGTCATAAATATAGCAATATAAAATATTTTAAATACGCTAAAATAATAAAAATATCTGTAAATTTTATATTTCTTTTTAAAATTATGTTTAAAGTTCAATAATAACTTATAAAAAATCTAAAAAAATAATTTTTTTATTATTATTTAATGAAAATAGTCATTTAAAATAAAATACTATTTAACAAAATAGCGTTTCTAATATATCTTTAAATATATAAACAGAAAATTACTAAAACCATTCATTTTTCAAATCTCTCTCTTTTTTTTTAAAAAATAAAGTTAAGCTGCTTTATGATCCTGTCGTCTTTTTATTGTTTCTTTAATACCATTCCATTTTAAATAATTTAGATAGATTAAATTAATAATAATATAAAAATTATGTTTAAAGTTTCAATAATAACTTATAATAATCTTGTAGATTAGCTCTCTTTTTTAATGTTATTTTTCAATGTCTATTATAATTTTTGAAATGGGTATTAACGATAAGATTACTGTAAAAGGGTATTTTTGAAATTCTTTCGAAATTTCACATATATTTTTGAAACAAAATATAAGCTGTCTTCTTCTAAAACTAGAGAGTAAATCTCGAAATTCTCAAGTAGTTTCTTTTACTCGAACACATACAAAGTTGACAACTTTGTTGAAGTCAGAAAGTCGAACACAAATTTTGACTTTTAGTAATTTAAAAATTATGTGTAATCCGCTAAACATTATATGAATCTACCCATATTAAGAACAAAAAAGAAATATAGTGTGAACAAAGAGAGTGTAGTAATCATGTATTAAAATTTCTCATGCTTTTCCACCACTCATATCGTGCCATGTGGAATAATGTCGTGTGACTCTCGTGTCGGCGAGTGGGAAGTAGGGCCAACATGCCGCTCCCTGTCAACCTCTTATTTTTTTTATGGATCA